ATAGTAAGGCAAGAAACGCGGTAAAGCGCAACGAGAAACACAAATACAACGGATTCGCCGAAACACGGAGGGAAGAGTGTAGCGGCGATTTGAATCCAGCTCATGGCTGCCGCATCACGTAATTCCAAAATACCAGCGCGCCCATGCGAAGAAGGGTGAATAAGATTATAGACCAACTCTGCTCTCTTACTTAACCCCACGGCGGTGGCACATCAGGTGCCCCGCGTACAACCAAACTAAAAACGAAATGAGGTGCTAACAACTTAGAAATTATAACTATTTAAGGAGTTCGTATTATAACTACGGTGAAATGCGTGTAAAAGGCCAGGGATATCAGTCACACTGCTTTGGCAAAACTTTTCATTGTCAGAGGAGAAAAGAAACAAGATTTGGCGAACCAACTTTCCGATGACAGCATTCATACAACAAAGTTTAATTTTTAACGTTTCTTAGTTACCAACTCAACAAACTCCTAATACGCGCAAGGAAAGTATACTTGTTCTTGAGCTACTTTTGTATCAGGTTCTCAAGGAAGCTGCGAACTTCTCTTTTCTGAAAGTTAAAATGAAACTTTATTCAAGAAGCAGCAGCAGAAGAACAAATAGACCAGACTGTTGCCCATTACTCGGGGAGCAGAAAAACTGACATTCCGACCCTAACACATAGATCAGGGCTTACGCTGTTTATATGGGAAGGGTTCAGTTAGAAAAAAAAAGTGCAGCAGTGGCAACTTAAATTCAACAAGGCAGCCCAGCATGGGCAGGCGGTCGTCGCCATGACTGCCGGAGCGCCTTGCTGGGCATTGCAGGGCCGCTAGGTCGTTGGGATCGTGATTACGAGAATTAGTGCACACAGCAACCGTCGCAGCGCCGTATAGTTTGGTGCACCTCATTGCTTTCTTTTGCTGATTCAGTTCAGAGCGCGCGAGGAGAGCATGCAGAAAAATGACCGCTGGCTGTCGCAGCAAAGTGACCGAGCGATGTTGTTGGTCATGTCAATCCTAAAAAGTGCACAAGAAACCTCTGAAGCTGAAGTAGAATTCATTCGCAAACTACACAACATTTACTATTATATTCTTTCGCAAACATGAAATTCGCCAACGCGTAAGGTTGTTTCGTGAATATTTTGTTTAATAACATTTTACGCATAATTATAATAATTGTGTAGGCTGTACCTGCTGATTTGAACAAGACTCGGTGTTTGTACCATAAATAATACCTTTCACTCGCATGCAACAGTTATGTTTATATTAAGGCAGTCAAGCGAGCAGTTTACAAGAGGTGTCTTTTAAATGAAACATTTATCTTATTCTTTTTTTTTTTGTAAAGAAACAGGGAATTCAAAACTGGAGGCATCATATTTTAGAGGAAAAAGAACGCGTTAATTAGCCTCCAGCCGCAACTAAACCCTATAGAGATGACTCATAATACAGTGACAGATGCAGAAATTTCTGGCCCACATTAGACAATACTCAAAATACTCTAGTATACTACCTACTTGCATTGAATATTACGTTCAAGATTGATACGCAAAATCAATCATGCGAGTTTATTAGAGCAATTTTTATTGACATTTGCGCGTGATTTTGCAGATGTGTGAACTTGCTGATTTCACCGTGAACTGCCCAATTCTTCTTTAATTAGAACAGCTCATTTTTAACCTCAAGTTCGTCAATTTCCAAGCTTCTCTTGATATTTCGCTGAAAAAGAAAAGAAAACAGTAAACCCCAAAACAGCATAATATACTTTTAACTCGTGATACGAGCCAAGGGTATAAAGTTCCAAAAAAACACGGACCGAGACAAGAAGAAAACAGCGAAAGAGGGCGCATCTCAACTGAAGTTTATTCGAAAAAGTACACACTAATATTATTGCCAACGGGAACGCACAGTCATCAATCAATCCTGGCCAAGCTCATGTTTTAAATACTCATACTCATTTGTAGATGGAACCAAGGACGTTTCGCTTACGCACTTGTTTCCCCTAGCCCTATTTTCAAAAGCCTCGTGTAATTCGCGTGTCACCTTGTTTTCGTATTTTGCCAAAATATGTGTGCTGTTGAATGAGAGGTGTAAGAGCATCTGCTACAATTAACGGCGAGATGCCATGACGGTGTCTTCCTAGTGGACGCTGCGTGCTCGCGAGCCCGATCATTAACATTAACACATCTGCCCATATGAAATGTATAACTCCAGTTGAGCAACTTGGCGCCTACTAAGATGACCATGCTTCAGTGAGGTTCTGATGAAATGCAACCAAGACAACAAAACTTCCATTATCCAGGAATCATGCTATTCTCACCCGAAAGCTATTGCCCAGCACCTCCTAACTGAATCTCACGTCGTCTAACTGTCAAAGTTATAAGCGTATTTTCAGACATATATCCGCCTGCAGTAACTCCTCATTAAAAACCCAGTGATGCACTGGAATAGTCTACCTGACCACATAACCTCACTCTCTGACCCTACTCCATTTTGAGCTTTTATGTTAGAAGTCTTGAGTGTTCCTTAGTTCCGACTGGTGATGTTCTGGCCTAAATAGTGTTTATATTTTGTGTAATACATGCGTTTTCGTCACTGGTGGTGCTCTGAACTAAAAAGTCATATAATGTATAACTCCAGTTGTGTTCGTAGTAAAATTGTTTATGGCTGCAAGAACGCGAGGTTGTTTTTGTGTGTGTGTTTTTACAAGTGTGTGTACTGTACCCTGACTAAATCTTCACCTGCGTAATGTCTAGAATTTACCCGGCAAATTATTTTGAATAAATAAATAAATAAATCTTTACGTCTTTTAAAAGCTGCGTATCTAAATACACCGGCGATATATAAAGGGCTATTTGACCTCTATAGCAATTATTTAATAATCAGTTGAGAGCTCATTTGCAAAATTGTCAATCGCAGCTTGTAGAGTTTCTTTACAAGGCTCTTTTTATATATAAAGATAAACATATAATTTGGTGATATATTATCTAATATTATGCAGGTTTATTTTTTTTTATGTTTCAGATTCCATCCTTCAGCAAGATAAGTCTCGCCATCTCAAAATATAAAATGTTACCATTAAACCTAAAATTTACGTACATTGATATAATCGGAGTTGCTCTTTTATTTTGGGCTATATTTTAAGACGAGCGTACATTCTAAATATGCAAACGTTCATAATATATATTCTTGTGCCGTACATAATTATGCCCAAAATAATTTATTTTATAATCTTAAAATTTCCAAACGTGTATTGCATTGGCAACTCTGGACACAAATGAAAACGCAAAGATCATGAATCTTAAACATTTTTCCGACAGAGGGCTTACATGAAGACGCTTTCAATGCATAGAAATATTATATGTTGTAATAACGTAAATATATTAATAATTTGCTCAATAACACTTTACGCATAATTCCAATAGAAAGCTATGCGCCAAGAAAGTGAGGGAAAGGAGGAGACGAGAGGGCCCGGGGATGCCAGAACGCTGAGCTCTGATTGGACTGATTAGTGGGTAGACCTAAAGCTAGCAGCCTTTGTGTTCACTGTACTTGTCGAACGCTTTCGAATGCGAGAGCCAAACGCCTGCGTTCGCGCAGTAACGCGTTTGTGAGTGCAGCGGAGACAAAGGCTGCTATAGCTTTAGCTCTACCCACTAATCGTTCGAATCAGAGATCGGCTTTCTCACGTCACCGCGCGCTCTCGTATCCCCCTCTCCCTCACTCTCTCGGAGATTGGGCATCATAAAAACCTTGTTTACACATCACTATCAATATATTCTTTGTGATATTTATTCCTGCATTGTAAGAAATCGCGACATTTGAATGATGGCTACGGCATTCATTTAATGTTATACGCATTTGCATTTTATATAAAAAAAAAAAACTAAATGACAATATTGAGATTAAACCAACAAAGTGTCATCTTACGAAATGACAAGCAAATACATTCAGTGGGAGTGTGTTTGTTCTTAAAAGAGCCTATGAGTTGGGTGTTCAAATGTTAAGGTAAATTTAACTTAGTGAGGTCACACACATTTGGTTTCTAATCGAAATATTATTTTTAATATAAAACATTTACATAAGGTGTTTTTTTTGCATTATACAGCGTGTCATGACGTCAGGGTTTTCCTTTTGCTTTCAAACAAATTTTGCTTCAGGTGTTTGTAAAGCCCTAAATTTAATAAGACAAACAAGGAAGAGATGCTATGGTGAGGGTGCAGGCTATAGCTGATGTAAATTGAGCATAGTTATAAACCCGAGGATGGGGATACGGACAAGGGAGAAACACAGAACAACGGGGCGTTTGTGCTATGTGAAGTTAATATTGATCTCTTTTTCCACCAAGCTATATCTTGGCCTAGTGGCTCAAAAGAATTGTAACGATACGTATTTTCAGTTACTCAATCGAGCCGCCCCGTTCCCTGTATACCGCCTTCCTCTTCTTTCTTTTTCGTCTTACTCTTCTCGTAGCACTCTCCCTCTCCCCTTAAAAAAAGAGACAAAGTTGCTAATCTCTTTCGACACTAGAGTCTCGGGTTTACAACTGTGCGCAAAAGAACTAACGTTTTACTTTTAGGACAGCAAGAGCAGTTAATTATACACATCAAACAAACGTCTTGTAATAGGGTCTGGAGAAAACATCTGAGTGCATTTAAGCCACTATGCTTTCTAACTGAAGTTAAGATCATTAGCTGCAAATAAAAACAAAACTGGAAAAGGCTATTCTGGGTAAGCCCTAGAAAAAGGCTCCTTATCAGTCAGATAATGCGTTTACTTAATTAACAATACCTTGGTGTCGAAATGTTGCAACATGGATCATAACGCTAAGTAGTAAAAGAACCGTACACATTTCGAACAAATAATTATTGTAAAAGTGATAAAAGTCAAGCCAAGTGCCACAAAATATCACTTACGTTTGCAGATTTGTTCGCACTGCACAGCAGTCTCAAACAGATTCGTGTTGCCAGGCACCCTACTTCTGGCTTTTTTCGCTGAGCTACATACGTTTTTATTAATGTCAAAATAATACCGCGTGTAGAATCCAATTTTTGGAAAACGCCCAGTGTCTGGTTTCATACTGCAACGATGGGTTGCTGCGACAAGCAGAAAAAAAGGGAGGTTAAGCAGAAGTGTAACGCATACGTTCATGTTCAATGCACCAAATGACATCAATCCTGCACTTGCGTAATCGAAACCTTGTTCATTACGCTGGTTCAGACTTGGCGATCGTTTTCAGCGTTTTGTCATCGAAACACCGGCCACCTTTTTTCCCCCGTTCACAGACAACAATGTTTAAGGTGTTAATACTACTTGTTTGTCATCATCATAATTAAATTTGTAATTTTCTTGCATGCTTTAGAAACAAAACTATGCATTACTAAAGAGATTGATACGCTTAAATAACTTATAAAACACCAGCTGAATCCTCTCGAATCACTTAGTCGCGAAAACAATCTTAAGCTCTCTATTTAAAACAACAGTTAAACACTGTATTCAAGTAATATAATCCCCATCACAGGGGTAACGTGAAAAAAAACGCGCCCCTGATTGGCCTCCATTGCTTCCAACATTCCCGCGTTGTGGAAATTGCTCGCCCGTTTCAAGTCGGACCAGATCTCAAAAATTCATCTGCAACGGGACAATCTAGGAAACAACTCGCCAGCAACCCCGAAATTGCGGTGAAAAATGCACTGTCTGAAGTGATCCAACCACATAAAAGAAAGCAGTAACCCAATGTTCACTTTATTTTAATTAAAATTGATGTCACTTTAGAGATAATTACAGCAACACATGAAATAGAGATTAGCGCGAATCAGGGGTTAGCGAAATTATGGATTATATTCCGGGTGTTTCAGCGAAGTTTACGAAATTAGAGAACATCGGGTGGTCGAGAAAAAAGTTGACTCCTTGCGATAGCAAACTGCCAGCCACTGCAAACGTCAGGGATTAAAAGAACATGTAAATGAGGTAAACAAATAGCTAAGATTAACAAACTAACTTTACTTTAGTAAGAGCGAACTTATGGTTTTAATCACATTCTTGCCCAGCATTATAAAAAAAATCAACTCATTTTAGAAAAATATTGCGCAGGTACAGCATTATAGAGCGTTCCAAAAAACGTTATGTTTGGACCCGTTTCTACACTTCGGTTTCCTATCGGAGCGCACGTTGGATCGCAGATCAGAGAGCATCCACCACATCGCCTACCTCGTACGATGGAAAATATAGGGCAGGAGTATCGCGTGCCTTGGCTGAGGAAAGGATGCAAGACATATGGAGGGGTGGACACTGTGCGCGTCACACCTGCTCTAAAAGGTCTTCTCCTCGCTTTGGATGCAAAAGCCGCCACCAGATGGCTCCTCGATATGCGGCTCATAGCAGACTGTCGCGGGTCCGGTTTCTCATGTCTCTCTACGGGAGACATGCTTCTTTTTGAAGTCGTTTTCTGGGTGCAAGGTGCACCAGTGATATAGAACTTTACACTCGCGCTAAGCGTGTTTCTTAGACACTGCTTCGTCATTGAGCCTAGTTTCGTGCCTCAAGAGCGGCAATAACAGTTTTATGAACCCATTGGGGCGGAGAGAGATATCTGGCGCGGTGCTCAAGCCAGGGCTTTGAAGGTAAGAGCATCCACACCGAGCTGAAAGGGCGCGCGCCCGGGTGCAATGGAAGCGATGCTGTGGTTTTTTTTTTTTTTTTTTTTCTCCTCAGCTACGGCGTGTGGACAACGGAGGCGCTGTCGGCTGAGGCTACTCGGGCGCGTGCCAATGGGACATTATCTGGTCGATCGCGTCAGAGCGTTTGCTGTGCTGGGCCCTCATCTATATTGCAAGCAACCAGAAATACCAAATGGGAAAATAGTCCAAAAGCCCAGGAGATGTCACAATAGACCGATCTCACCAGCCAGGTTTGTTACGCCGCCGCTGCCGGCATGCATCGTGAGAGCTGTATAATTTCTGCTCGCGCGAGGACCGCGCTGCAAGTCGGCACGGGCAGAGCACGAGACGACACAACCTGTCTTGTCCGCTGCCGACTGCCTTGTGTTGACTGCAGCTAGGGCTGTGTCACGCATACGTGGAATGCTTAGTGAGATCGGTCTATTGAAATAAGGACACCAACTTAACATAACACAAAAAACAATTTCATTAAACGTTTCGCCTCCCATGCGGGAGACATCTTCGATCAGTACAGCAATGTAAGGTTCTAATTTTTTTTAAAGATTCAAAACTTCAGAAGTTGTATTTAGACGAAAAAATATCATAACGTGAATATACGCTCATTTATATAACCGGGTGTTTATAAACAATATGTCTTTATAACAGCTGTTTTGATTTCAAAAATATGATAGTTCTAGCAATCGATCGGCTAAGCGTTGTCACCGGCAGCAACCACTTTGTCCAGTAGCGCGATTGCTGTGGCACGAGTTCAAAATAAAGATAACACTGTCTCCTGACCTCGGAGCGGGTGACATAATTTTTACCCATTTATTGTCGTTAAACTTCCGGCCTAATTTTCACATAAAATGTGGAGTATAATAAAACATAAATGAAGAGTTGCACAAAAATACAATTCAGTGTTCATTAATCAGTATATTAATGACAGTCAATTTCACTATTACACGGAACACGTTTAATATTTGCGACGTTGTTCCCTACAGTCTACTCGCTTTGAAGAGTCGTCATACTTTTTTCGCCGTTAAAGGGAACTCCGTTTCATTTTTGATATTAGAAAACTATGCAGCCCTCTTTAGTATCATATGGGAAGACCCCATGTCAGATATTAGGATCTAATTTCGTCTATATATTTAATAAACTGGCCAGCAAACTTTCAAATGAGCCAAGTCGGGGAAAGTTTGCCAACTCTAGCATGCGACGTGAAGCGCAATCGTCGGCGCAGTCAGTGAGACGGCTTTGAAGCGGCCAACGTTGAGCCACTACGTCAGCGGCAAGTTACGTCATTCTCACGTTTTGTTTGTTTTTACTTCTCAAAGCGAAATTGAACGATAACTTCATGAGTTTCTCCTCCTCAACCGCGTCCACGTGATCACCGTAACGCGGATGCGCTAGTTTGCGCTGCCCTGCGCGCTTATCGGTCTGTTTCTCCGCTCCCCCTCCCCTCTTTCCTCTTCTCCCCTTCCCTCTCTTCCCCGGGCCATCATCGTCCACGCCATGCGAAGCGACCTGCCCGCGTCGCGTGTCCTGTCCCTCGCCCCCACGAACGCCACAAGACCACGTGGTTCGACGTGACGTGGCCATGACTCTGACGACCCGAGACCAATGTTGCCTGACGCAACCAAAGTTTCGGTTTCGGTATCAGCTGATGTTTAAATTAAGATTACACAAACAATATTCCACATTTCGCGAATCCGAAGACGTAGAGCTGTTTAGTAGTGCTTTGGGAAATGGAATCACGTGTAAGCCTAAATTTTTCGGAATTGAGCGGAGTTGCCCTTTAAAGGGAAGCTTCGACAAATGTTTTGAGCTCCCTAATCCAAATGCACCATCTGAATGCCGGTAGTTTCCTGATTCCAAAATGCTATCTCGTTCCCCTAAATTCACTGTAGCATTTTTTAAGTCACAATTTTTTGTTACCAACACCGAAACTTCGTTCTCCAAAGTTTTTTCCCAGTTTTTTTCGCCATCAAAACGTGGCGTTACTGCGGTAAGCAAGGCGCCCGAACCGTAATCAGATACGCTCGCGCCCATCCAGCGAGCAAACAGGGGCGTCCGTGCTATGAGAGGTTAATATTAATCTCTTTTGGCACCAAGCTATATCTTGGCCTAGTTGCTCAAAAGCATTGTAACGATAAGTATTTTCACTTAATCAGTTGAGCCGTCCCGTTCCCTGTATACCGCCTTCCTCTTCTTCCTTTTTCGTCTTACTCTTCCCGTAGCACTCTCCCTTTCCCCTTAAAAAAAAAAAGAAAAAAGTTGCTAATTTTTTTTGACACTAGAGTCCATGTAGTCTATCGTAGTTCGTCTGCGAAAGATGCCCACATTCTTACTTCTGACCTCCTTTACGATACCTTCCCCGACAGTGTCGCGCAGCACTCATTCTGATTAACGTTTAATAAGCCTGTTGTTTTTTTACTGTCGGGTGCGTTCAAAGTATAAGCGGGTGGATTACGTATTATGATTGATCAAATGTTTGAACTTATTCAGCTGTAAGTTAGCCCCGTTCGCGCTGTTGGCGTCTTTTCTCCATCGATATATTTTCCGTTATTTTTTTATACCTGTCTACAGTAAAACAAACTATCCCAATATAAGGTTTAAAAATAAGTCTATATGTAGCTTCAAGAGAAAGCGAAAGATAAAATAAGTATTGAGACCTCAGTATGTGCCCCGATACCGCAATGCCGTTATTCTAAATACCTATAAACTGTCCTAAGCATCAGCGATGTTACTATAAAATTCCCATGGGTTCCTCACAACCACATTTCAACTGTGTTTATAAAAGTATTCCGTATTGGCTGTTGCATTGGAGATGCAACAATTTTGGTAAGAATTTTATTACTTACGCGCACAGTTCTTCCAGCACTGTTCAGCTTCCTGGAAACTGTTTCCACCATCAGCACAGCCAAGACGTTCCTCGCATTGCTGCGTTTTTTCATTGTATCCGTATGTTTTTTGGGGTTCCTCACATGTAAGTATATGTTGTATTGGCAGCCTGCATTTGTTCTCTACCAGAGCTATAAATACAATATAAATGCATAAATTCAGCTATATCTCAAAAATACGATTAAATTACAAACTATCATAACCAACAAAAAACAAACACAGTGTCAGACGCTTATACATATATTTGTGATAACAAAGAGCAAATACTCCAACCAAAGCCGTGCAAAAGTATTCCTGAGTTTTAGAACCTGCATTTGTTTCTTTTTCAGGGATGAGTGAATCACACGGGGGGAGCATATATATATATATATATATATATATATATATATATATATATATATACGTTCACAACATGAGGTGCATTTACGTTTCGGCTTTTTCGAAAGTTTCTGAAACCGCTGCCCACATTGAATTTTAATGCTCTCAATATGACGGTTTTTGCATAAACTGGATATTCGCCCGCCGATTCGCAAGTGCGAACCAGGCCTAAGACCTGCGTTTTAAAACAAACACAGAGCGAAGACGGTATCTACGCTGCAAACATAGTAACCCTTCTACTCCCTTTCTCTTTTTTTTTTCTTTTTTTATGTTGCGTTAAAATTAAGTCATCCTGTATATGAAGCAAGAACTTAACGTTGCGTAAAAACACATTCTTGAAAGTTTTATTTTAAGAGCGTCAAAAAATTACTGGCTAAAAACACATTTTCTTCTCAAATGCTTAGCACCGCACATATTTTACATGCTTTAACAACCCAGAGCATTTGATTCGCCGTTCTTTATAAAAAAAATATAAACTTACGTCCGCAGCGCTTGAAGCAGTCTTCGACAGATCGAAATCCGCCGCAAGACCCATCAGTTTTTTCTTTGCAAGTTTGATCCTTAGGATCGTATCCATAACTCGGGCTGCCAATATATTCGCAGTCATCTTCATTGGGGTTAAGGCACAAGCGTAGATCCGTATCTAAAGAATAAAATATTTAATCTGGTTTTATACAGGTACTTTATCACTGATCTTTCTTATGTTAGAGGTATATTCCTGAAGCATCAAAAAAGCATGACGTGCGAAATAAAATATTCGGACAGCAGATGCTGCACAGGTTCAGCCGTAAAATGCTTCGCATGCCCTCTGTCGTTTTGCAATTTGTTGATTTAGTGTTTTTTGATGACGCTGAGCAATTTTTTTTTGGCCACATGACGTTGCCTGGATCAAAAAATTTAAAAAAATAACAAACGTTTTCTATGAGCCAACGTCAACCTAAGAATAATAATCGTCAAACTAGAATTTTAGAATCTGGGCACCTGTATACTTTATTTCATTGAAAAAACGTTTCGATAAGAAGGACGACATTGTTGTTTCTTTTTTGCTGAGACATTTGTTTACTGAAATAAATGATACAAGCTCCTACAGTTTCAAATTTTGGTTAGATAAACATTACTCTGCGAAAAAGGTCGGCTCATAAATAAAAACTTTTTTTTTTGTATCGATTGATTCGGGTGAAAAGAACTGTGTTTGTGCGCATGTCATAGGGGCGGCGCCAAATATTATATGTTGAACCGTATTCTTGAAGTAATTTTTTTTTTTTTTTAATGTGTGATTGTTTGTTTTTCCCGGTTGCTTGATTGTTGTCTCCCTGACTGCTTGTTTTCTGTTTTTATTGTATGTTTCCTGGGGGGTTGGCCAGCAGACGCTCTCGCGTACGGGCTATCGCCTATCTGCTTCGCCTCGCACGCCCCCCAGGACACAGTTCGCTTTTTGTGCTAATAAAGATTATTATTATTATTATTATTACACATCAAAATAATTACTTGTCCTAGCTCTCATGGAGTCAGCTTGTGCCCGAAATGTTGCACTTAAGTGAAAATCTATACGACAGTTACACATTTTGCAGTGTTTTATCGCCAATGAAAACTCTACAGTGCACCTTCGCACTTCCGCCTCTCTCCGGTTGATTTGCATCGCTCTTGTTTTAAAGTAAGGTTGGTAAACTAACTGCAACATTGATGGCCGCATAGTCAGTCTGCAGTCGACAACTTGTTTTGGGACCGGTCCTTCGTGTGACAGTACGTAAGATCAGTCGTTTCATCCTGAGGCCAAACTTGCCATTAGTTTCTGGATGGAACGTCGGCTTCGACCCGGAGGCTCCAATCAAAATAAATTTATGTCCTTGTTACCAGCTTCAAGAAACCTTGTGGTACGTTTGTATTTCCACCCAAAGCAAGTAGCGAACAAATTGATATTATGTTGGGCTGACGTCCAACGAATGATGACCTCCGTGAGATTCGGACATTTCTTACCCCAAGCTCACTTCAACATGAGACAATCATTTGCTTTTCACTTGGTTTAAAAAAAATTATCTCTTCTACAAAGTATGTTTCCACATCACATGAGCGCAAGCTTTATACCTTTGCAAACAGTTCGTTTTACGCATATGTCAAAGCACAACAGAAGGCAAAGAAAGAGTGCTGGAAGTGGAACTTCTCTTGAAGATCTTGTGTTTCAATAGACGGTTTATATTTCATGCTAATTCTTAAATAACACGACTGCAACGCTCCGTTAAGACAACTTACATATTGCGATTTACTCTAAAATCTATCTTAGATGTTTTTTATCTAACTGTCGCCTTTTCCTCCGCGTCGCCATCATCCATATCTCGTTCATTGATTCCTTTCACTTCTTGTATACCACATCGGTTTTGCACAAATCTTTTTATTACCTGTATTTTCGTAAGATGCGGTTTATATACGTCCAATGCAGAAATATGAGTGCAAATATTTTTCCAGAATAGAGATTACTGTAGAATATTGATTTATATCAGCAATAAAAATATATCGATCCTAACACCTGCCGAATATTGCGAAATTAAAAGTTCGTCTTAAACGAAACCATACTTCTGCTCTTTTTGCGCTGTTATTGTCGAAAACGTAACGACAGCTGCTGCCCCGCAGCTCTAAAAAGAGCGAGGCGGTGCATAGCTATAGCATACATCTGTTCATCATAATCTCAACCCTACGACAATGAGAAATAAAATAAAGGACGAGACACTACAACGATATTTCATTTCTCTTTGTCTTAGGGTTCAGATTATTAAGTGACCTAACCAGCTCGCCTGCATACTTTAGCTCCTCGCAATATATATGTTTCTGTTTTAACCATGGAACGGAAAAATAAAAAAAAAAATATTCGGGAGACCAAAATAGTTTTGCACGTGTCGTAAGTTTTGAGAGTTAGCTGATTTAGTAGCTTTCTGTAAGGCTCTTCAAGCTTTGAATTTACGCTATACATTCATTTTCAATAACTAAAAATTTAGTGGCGCAAATAATTGGAATTTCATTCTCCAACAATCTATGTGTTTGGATAGTTTCTTCCATTGGCACCGACAAGAACGACATCAATGCTTTTTTTCTTCGGTAGGAAGACCTCACGAAAACATACTGCACAGCTGTCAACTACGCAGATTCATAACAAAATTACATAATTTTGCGACAAAACCAAGTACCACACAAAACAGTTTAAATAAATGCAAAATATCGCTCATGGCTTACCTCGACACTCCTTTGTGCAGGAGGCATCACTTCTAAACACGTTTTTTGTTTGATCTTCGTCGGGCGCACGAATCGGCAAACATTTTCCGGTGGTTCGATCATAAGTCACAACTGGAAAGTCTAATGATCCCTCGCTCGATGGTGGTTTTGCGTAGCACTTGGCAGGAACATTTGCTTTGGTATTAAACAATCACATTAAAACACTTATAGGGCTCAGTGTGTTATTTTAGGCAAATAGTAATATTGTTAAAGAAATGAATAAAGAATCGTAAACGAGAGAAACGAATTTAATTATTTACCTTTATACTATCGTTGGGTTTTATAAAGTGTCACGACATGTCTTAAGCCTTTTCTTTTTTTATTTACACGCTATATTTTCTTAACAATAGACTACTTGTACAACTGTCAATATGAATTATCACTTATTATTGAAGGGAAATATAACAAAATATAATGCTTATTTTAAATATGCTTTAGAATACTGTTTTCAACAATGCCGACAATCTGATTCTACTCTAATGTGGATATTAAACTTTACGAGAAATTTCAAATTATATTATCCGCCCCTGATATATGCATACAGACTAGATTATGAAAGTAAATATAAGAGACAAGATCAGTTAGCTCTTTTTACTTACGTCTGCATCGTTTGTTGCAAGAAGATTCATCCAGGAATATATTTTCGTTGCTGTAGTCATCTCTTTTCACATGATCAAATACGTAGCACTTGTCGAGTTCCGAGTTGTAACTCCATCCTTTTACAACATTCCGGCCTTGACCGAAATCGGGCGTGTCGAGACAGAGATTTTCATCCTGAGAGTTCTGGCCGCTACAAATACCTACACAAAGTAGTTGGTGCTCAGGTGAATTTCCGCAAAAAAATATATATATTTCTACACAAGTGTTTTGCGAACTGTGCTTATTCAAAATTGAGGTAATATTCAACGTAGATAAAATCCCAGCAAATGACAGCCTTTTTTTAGGAGTTCCGATTTTGATTCATAGTTGTATTTCTACTGGCGTCACTGCATGGCATTTCTATCTGACAGAGAAACGAAAAGGGACAAAGGCAATATCTTCGGATACAAGTTAAGAACGCTCCAAATCAACACCACCACGTACCAGCTACAGCATCCAATCGCTCCGCGGATCAAACAGTAAAAACAATAACCATGACAACGGTTTTTTTGTATGTTTTTTTTTTAGTGATTGCGTTTTTGATTAATACACAAGAGCCTCGGTAGCAAGTTGGCGGCAATCAGGGTGTGCGAGGAGCTTGCGGCTCGTTCTTAACAATTATTTGATCCTAGTGTCATGACACAGAGCGCAACAATGAGAATCTCCATCTAAATTATGCAAACTGAAACTGAAGCATGCATTATTAAAAATGGGCTAAAATACGGTTCGAGGATAAAGGCTACTGCACACCTCCTCTTTCGGGATGGGCTCTCAGCTGTATAACCAGGTGAGGAGGGGAACGGGGGGGGGGGGGGGGGGGGGGTTGGTTGAGCAGATTACGTCAGAAGGCTGTATGAGCGCGTTTGACAATTTTCGATCACATTCGACCAGTTGGTTTTCATAAAAACATAGCCAACTCGGACGTCCTATATTTTAATGCATGGAATAGTTACATGTGCGCACCGTGTGCTAGAATGAGCGATGACGGCGACGCCTCCACCGCGTTATATTTTTTTACCACGTCCACGTCACAGCCACTATAATAGTGTTTCCTGATATTTGCCATTATACCAAAATCCCGGCTTACAGGAATGAAAAACGAAACCAATATTTCAAATAACGTGGTAGTCAATTTCTAGTGTCAACGTGTATTCGATGTTGCGTTTGATAATAGTGAATCAATACGCAGTACATTCAACAAAAGCAAAAACGTTAATTGAAAGCCGTAGTCATATTAAATACAAGTACGTATATAAAAATAAAACAACCGCAAGCTAAAAGCAATCAGAATATAATATTAAAGTTTTATGCGGCACTTAAGCAGTTTTCTTTTCCTTCTTTCTTGATGTAGTCTCTTTCGCACAAGATTTTTCTTCCAATTTAGCTAGCAATTTAACAATATATTTTACTAGCATCGTTAGAACTATCACAAAATTTTCATTTTTATGATTTATTATAGAGTGATAGACTTTATTTCCTTAGTAGTTGTTTCATGTCAAACGTTTAAACGGCCAGACTTAACTTTTCACAGAGTCCAATGTTTCAACATACCCCGATGAAAATTGCAACAACGTTTTCTAATGTCACTGAGACTATTACAAACAAATCGTCATTTATATAGCCCCTTTTCTAAAGAAGTCTTGAAATCTTGCACCTGTATTAAACATTTGATGCTCCGCTATTTGTAAAAGTAGTTTCTCCATGTGCCGCACTAGATCGCAGGGAAACAAGGACCCCACGGTAAAAACAATGTTGGCCTGACTCCTTTCAGGACAGGGTGACAAATCACTGATAAAACATTTTCGGTAAAACTAAAGCATAAAACACCTTTCAAAAGAACAAGCTCGCAGTCCTAGTTCTAGCGTCTGCAAAATAAAAAAAGAAGTGGCAAAGGAAGTAAAACTGTAACTTATATAAATCATTATCTAAAAGAAATAAGATTAATTAAATACTAACCTAAGGCCGTGACTATGAGGGTCCAAATAATTTCCTTGTGCATCATGAGCTCCTTCTGGCTGAATTTACCGTGTTAACTTTGAAAAACCTTCCTGCGGCAATGTGTTCTTTTATATCACGGTGCCAGCCTTTTGCTTCTTAGTAAATAAAAAATACTGCAAAGAAAACCAAAATAAAGATTTAGAAGCTGCATAAGCATCATAAATACCAGCGAAAACGCACGCACCTTTGTGTTTAAAATTTTCCATAAAAAAATTACGTAGTTTAAGGAAAACAATCCTAAATGTATAAACACAAATATAAAAAAAAAAACTTTTACAATATGATAGGCGTTCATACGATGACCTTAGAAAACAAACAATGTTTCACGCGGAAGTTCCTACGAACATTTCAAAATCAAAATGCGATTGTTCGCTTATGTTCCAAAACGTACTCGACTCCTACGCGCTGAATATCGCTTACTCAATGACGCGCTTCCTTGGTGACGTCAGAACTCGCGTTTTTGAAGCAGGTTGCGAACTCCAGGACATTTAGACAGGCTGTCGTAAGGTAGAATGAGAAAACTTCCTCGCTTCCGTGGCCATAGAGGCATCGAACGGTTGCTTCATCGAACAACTTATTATTGTGAATAAAATTGTTTCTGCACGCGCGTTTGCAGCGACCTTTTGTGCAGGCCAAAGTTACTTAGTGGCGCTGGTCCCAGTACACAAGAGCGGGGGGATGCTAACTTGCACGCAACTTCACTATACAGGTTTCTTGTTCTGGTTTTCTGTCGATAATCGTTTTTAAAATGCTGTGAAAGTTATACTAATCCGGTTTGCGCAGGTTAGTTATACGGTCAAGGGTACATAAAGGGAACCAGTTGTCACAATTAGCCGGATAATTAACTAAAATTTGTAATATAACTTCTTAATATTAAAACAGAAACATTGGGTTATAATTAAAAACTTGCAGAGCGTCATCTGTAACCACCAAATTAGTAAATTTCAGAAATATTTCTAGCGTGTGCGAAGCGCGCGTTGGTGCGCTGAAGTTGCCAACTCGTGTAACAAGCGCAGAAGCGGCGGTGCAAAGATGAAGGTTAGAACATCACCGCGTGCTTATCATCCGTGTTTTCGCACCACCAGCAAGTGGTGACTTTAGCGCAACACCGCGTTTCACACTCGCTTCATATATTTCTAAAGTTTACAGATTTTGTGGCTTTCGAACAGATTTCTTGGCATTTAACAGATTTCAGTTCATTTCTGGAACAGCTATCAGTTGGGTGATTTCATTTGAGATCGAACACGAGCGTCGGGGTGGTTATTCGGATCTGTCCCCCAAGATATCTATAGTATGGTCCCATCTCGGCAATATACAAAACCGTTTTTTTTTTTTAAATTTTGTTTAAATATTGAGTCTAGCAAGGCGACTAACTACAAATCGGCGGCTTGATTTTTTGTAGCCAGTTCTGTCGCTTGTCATAAATAGGTGAAAAAGATAACGCTTACAATAATTTCTTATATATATATATATATATATATATATATATATGTATATATATATATAGTGGGCATGGTAGCATAAGAGCCAAGTGGCCGAAGGCGTATATATAACGAAGTGAAAAACTCACGGTGAAAAACAACAAACAGCGGAAGTTTAATCAACAGTTTCGCCGAGAGACTCGGCTTCGAGTTTTTCACTTCATAATATATATATATATATAATACACCGTCCATTTTGCTTGTTTAAATAAAGCTACTCTGGCACTATTTATACAGAAAGCTGAAAATGCCAAACATTGTACTTTGACGTTGAGGTGACAAATTTGGAGCCTTCTTTCTTAGGATTCGTTGCAGATGGCGCTTTCTAAATACTATACGCGTAGTCCTTTGCATCCGCTAGCGACTGAGATCACTTTAGTTTGATTTATCATTACGAAATCGTTTATAATAATTTTACCATTTTATCAAAAGTGAAAATTAGATATATTTTAGGTTCACATTACTAAACAAAGAGGGCTGTCTTTTTTGACTTTAGATGTTTATTATTATTTTTTACTATAGTTCATTGTAAGTGCTGTTTCTTGGACGAGACGTCTTTTGGTCTTATCGCTTACTAGGGTTAACAAAACAGCTGTTGCATGGACCTCGACATCGTCAGTAGCTGAAGCACTGCTCCCGGAATTTATGAGAGACAGCGCATCCGCCAGTACCACCTCCTTACCGGGGAGGAACTGTAAGGCAAATTCGTAACACAATAGATGCAAAAAAAGTCTCTTGGAGTCAAGGTGGCATTTCACCAATAGATTTTTTTTTTTTTTTTGCAACGGCTAGTAGTGATTTACGGTCTGTTCCGATTGTGATAAATGCACAAAATCCTGAAATTTTTCTCAACCGAACAAAATGCATATATTTTTCTTTGCGATTTGTGTCTACCTGCCCTCACTGTCTCTCAGCACACGTGACGCGTAGCCTAGTGGACGCCATTATTTTCCGTGCTGTTGAAACAGAGCAGCTTATAGATCACCTTTTGATGCATTCGTTGACCGTTTAATTAGCTTTGAGGGGTCAAAAATGGTTAGAACTCGACCTTCATTTAACATTCACTGAAGTGCATACTATTCACGCGTGTGAACATTGCCCAATTTGAATATTGAGTCTTCCCTTATCAAGTCTCTAAGCGTGGTTGTCAGTTGAAAAATAAGGAATGAACTTGCCGAACTCGTTTACGCCTCACAAAAGGCGTTGGACTTCATTTTTGCTTGTAGGCAGTGGCAGCTCGTGAAGGCACTTCACTACCTTAGGGTCTGGCTTGATTCCGTTCCAGCTTATCTTGTCCCATAGCTACTATATCTCATCTACACTAAACTTGCATTTCTCAGCGTTTAGTGTCCTTCCACCTAACTGGGCTGCCCATAATGCTGCTCTTGGTCGCGAATCATGTTCTTCGCGTGAAGATCCCCATATCATAACATCGTCAATGTAAACTCTGACGCCTGCAATATCATCAAATATTTGGCTCATGGTGTGCTGAAAAACTTCGAAGGCGAAGGGATGCTGAATGGATGCCTCGGTTGGCGATAGTGGCCAAAGTTTGTTGCGAACCTGCATATCTGGGGTGCATATTTGTCGAGTAAGATTTGATGAAACCCGTTGTTGTCATCTAGCTTACTGAAATATTTTGCGTCAGCTAGCTCTGGTTTAACGTCTTCCCCCCGCGGCGACTGCAAATGATCCCTTTTCAAGGCGGCATTTACGTGTCGAGGGTCCATACAAACTCAAATCTTCCCCCTTTTTCTTTTTTTTTTTCTAACCTCAACTAAAGGGCTTGAATAATCGGTCGGCTGCTGAACATTCGCGATGATGCCACTTGCAATTATGTTGTCCAGCCCTACTTTCAAGGGCTCCCGCGAGCATGAGGGACACGTCGGGCAGGTATGACTACCGGTTGCGCATTTTCGTTGAGCAACATCCCGTCCTCAATCTTGGTTTTTCCAATCCCCTTGAACAAACTCGGGAGTTCAAACGATTGTTGCTCCAGGTCTCTCTTGTTTGTTTTATAGTCAACTCTGTTGACCAAGTCAAATTTCTCGCAGGCCTCAAGACCAAGAAGAGCTTGCTTCCTTTTCTTCATAACAAAAAAAAAAGAAAACAAAAAAACATTTAGTCGTCTCTTTTGTCAGTGTATTTGAACGTAGGGACAAATTTTCCGATCTGTTCCAGCGTCGCTCCGCCCTAAGGCCACAGGGTTATAGAATTCGGTTTGGGCGTCGTTGACATTTTTGTAGATTGATAGGGACAGCAAATTTGCTTGTGCTCCCGAGTCGATCTTTAGGCGGACTTTATGACTGTCCATCTTCGCGGTGACCATCTTGTATCGCTTGTCTTTTGCTTTTTCTCCGTTCACTGATAGAATGTCAAAATCGTCTGCGTCACTGCATGAACCCGCTGTGTGGTCGGCGACGTAGTCAACTGACTTCGTCAAGCTATGGCACACTTTAGTGATTTGGTCCTTTTTTCCTCACTTCTTGCAATCCTTATCAAATGCTAGTTACGATAGGGGCTCATGAACATAGCTGCAATACTTGCATTCTTCTCTTACCTTGTGTTTCTTTCTACAAGCTGCGGGGTCAATGCTTTGTTCCACATGCTCGAGGGACTTGTTTTCGCGCTCCGAGATTTCTGCGGATTTTCTGAAGTCTACGGCCTTATTCGAGTTAGGATTTTTCCCGCAAAAATCTTGCCGCAGTTCCTTTTTTTTTTCCGAAATTAAAAGGTTTGTACGCGCAGCATAGAATAAGACAAGACCCCGAAGCTGCAAGTCGTGGCCTTGAGCTGCATGTCACGTAAGAAAAGCTCCAATCCTTCCCCGGGCTCCCGCACTCTGGTCCGAAAGACTATTGCTCGTAGGGCTCGTTGACCCTCGGGAGGCAGTAAGTAGTCTTCCAAAGCTGCACTAGTACATCGTAATCTTGTTTTTCTTCGGCTGTCAACTGGAACGTATTGAGCACGTCAATCGCTTCATTACCGACTACATGAAGGAAACTCGCAGCCTTCCGCTTTTTTGTTCTTGGTTCTTTAGTCGCTGTGTCTCTGAAGTGCACCTCAATTCGTTGCTTAAAACATTGAAAGTTTACGGCCGCATGTTGTGATCACCGAAGTCCTTCTGGTGGTTTCAGCTCAGCCCTTTTAAATTTCGCGTTTCGCTCAGCTTGTGGGCAAAGGATTGTCGAGCCACTTCTAACACCATGTATTAGTCCGTGCTTAGCACTAAGGAAAGACAGACATGATCGTTGACAAGGCGGACAAAGCTTGAACTGGTTGCGTTGGTCGATGTTACATTTATTGGTCTCTAGCTGCACGGTGAATAGGCACCTGCATACGATGATGTTGCTAGACCAATGGACCTTTTCCGAGAAGCTCTCTGCGCATGCGCGAGCGCCCGATGCCAAGCGGCGGTAGTCGGCACGAAAAATCGAGAAAATTCGGAAGAAAGCTGTGTATCAGCGAGTCGAACACGTAATTGCAGCATATATATAATTGTGTTACACAAAAAAAGATAGTGGACGGTAAATAAAAACACAACGTTTGGGTGGATGCCACGGATACCCCTATTTAAAGTCGTGTTGGGCACGCGTCGCAGCTCAGAGAGCGAAG